TTGAAAAATAAATTAATATCTACAAAAAAAAAATAAAAAATGAATCACACGTCTAAAATGAGGTTGTCAATAATTTTAAAATAATATCATACCATAATGACAAGGTTTGTTTAAAGATATAGGCGTAACTGAAAGAGATAAACATAATTGATTTACTACCAATCATGTTTATGGGATATACTCATATACATGATTCTATTCATGTAAGTGATAGTAATTGAAAGAGATAAGGTTTCTTTTTCTAAAAGAAAAAAATAAATAAATTGCATAAATAATTTAATTTAATAAATTAGTTATGAGCCGATTGTTATGCGATATCAATTGATTTTGAAATTAATAAACCAAAATATCAATAAATTTAGTTAAGAAATAGAAAAAAGAATCCACAATTTATGAAAACTTCATATTTTGCTTACAAAATCTGAAAATAATAGAATTTGAGCATTTTGAAAATGTATCAGGATTTGTTTCCAAATGTTTTTTGGTTTCTAAATGACGCTCCTTTTGAAATTACACCATATCATGATGATAAATTTTGTTTAAAATAATGATAAAATTTGAATTGAAGTTACCAAATTCTTTTCAAAACTTTGATTAAGAACCACAAAAAATCGGTGCATTCAAATTTTAAAAAGATGCACACGGTTTTCCTATAAAAGTTGTATACGTTTTTTTAAATTAATTTAAGTTTATTTTCCTAAATAATTAGATAAGGTTTGAATATTAAACATCAAATTCGAAACCAACTTTGTTACACAAAAATGTGGATACGGAATCGATTTTAGCTACCAAAAAATGTGCATACGATTTTGATGATATATTCTACTTAAATCTCAATTGTTTCAAAATAAACGATGCACGTTTTTTAAAAATTTCTTACAATAGCAAGTCAATCAAATTATTTTTAGTCAAACTTACTAAAAAAATGAATCCCACGTCTCAAATGAGGTTGCTAATAATTTTTAATAATACCATGAGATTTGTTGAAAGAGATAAACATAATTGATTTATTATATAGCAATGATAAAGTTTGTTTAAAGAGAAACATAATTGATTTACTACCAAACATGTTTCCTGGATATACACGATTCTATTCTTGGACTTGATACCAAAATACTCGATATGAATTTATTTAACTAAAATATTAAAAAATTTGATAAGGAAATGTTAAAAGATTAAACGGTTTTTTCTAAATGTGCAACAGATTGTTACCAAAAGATTAAATTGAATATTTCCATCAAAGTATCACGGTTTTAAATAATAAAATCTCACGTTCTTTTTAAAAGACGTTGTGTAAACATCAAAGATGAGCCGATTTTTGTTCCAAAATAATGGATTTAAAATTAACTCACCAAACATAATCCACAACTTTAGGGTGAGATCAGACTTTTAAAAGTGGCACACAGTTTTTCCTTATAGAATGAAGCGTAATTGATTTGATTTGTTCTTTATCCTAAATAATTATAACCGAATTTGTTTCAAAATATATTGAAAGTCATTAACCACATATTATTTCCCTAAATAAATGCAACTAATTTTGTTTCAAAACATCTTGAAAGCTATAAATCACATGGTTTTTTCCTAAATAAATTTATTTAGGAAAAACGTTTTTTTAACTAATTTTGAAAAATATTTTGAAAAATAAATTAATCTCCACAAAAAAAATTGAATCATATGTCTGAAATGAGGTTGCCAATATTTTTAAAATAATACCATACCATAATGATAAGGTTTGTTTAAAGAGATAGGCGTATTTGAAAGAGATAAACATAATTTATTTACTACCTAGCATATTTAGGGGTTATACACGATTCTATTACTGTAATTGTTTCTAAAAAAGTTTCATAACTAATTTAAATTAATAAATTAGTTATGAATCGATTGCCATGTGATATCTAGTATGTAAAGACCCTCGACCGGCTCGGTTCGATCTGATCTGTCTCCCTCGCCGATGGACAGCCTTCGAGACCTGCAAAAACACGACACTATAGGGGTTTTTCTGTGAAGAACTCCGATGTTTAAGTTAAAGATGTGATGAAGATGATGAACAATGTGTAAGTGTATATAGAATGCGTAATATAACAGTGAACATACCTCACTCCCTTATATAGGGAGATGATACCTTGTTGCACAAGACTGCCCGTTCGTACTGACTGAAATCCCCAACTATGTTAGGCCATGTGGCCCTATCCATGTGTAGATCTTATTCTAATAATATTCTTTCTTATCATTTAGTCTTCCTTATTATACAGTCTAATCGTGCGACCGAACCCAATTACCTCGAGGTGTAATACCCACAATATCAAGCTCTTGTGTTATGCTCATCTGGTTGATCCTTTGACCAGTTTTACCTTCAGGTCGAGCTTCAACCAGGTCGTCCGTGGGCTCTAGCTCAACCTGTCAGTGCTCCTTGGATCATCAGCGTCCCCATAGACCTAAGGATTCTTGGATTTGTAATGCCTTGATTTGTGTTCGACCTGTCGGTTCATCTAGTGCGGTCATGTTGTTTCTCATGTTCAGTCGACCTGGAATGTTATCCTATATAAATGTCAATTGATGTGAATTTAATGAACCAAAGTATCGATAAATTTAGTTAAGAAATAGAAGAAAGAATCCACAATTTTATGAAAACTTCTTATTTTGCTTACAAAATCCGAAAATAATTGAATTTGAGCATATTGAAAATGTATCAGGATTGTTTCCAAAAGTTCTTTTTGTTTCTAAATGACGTTTATTTTGAAATTACACCATATCACAATGATAAATTTGTTTAAAATAATGATAAATTTGAATTGAACTTACGAAAATCTTTTCAAAATTTTGGTTAAGAAAAAGACATAAGAATCCACAAAAAATCGGTGCAGTCAAATTTTAAAAAATTGCACACGATTTTCCTTATAACAGTTGCACAAGTTTTTTAAATTGATTTAAGTTTGTTTTCCTAAATAATTGGATAAGGTTTGACATTAAATATTAAACATCAAATTCATAACCAATTTTGTTACCAAAAAAATGTGGATACGATTTTGATGGTATATTCCATTCAAATCTCAGTTATTTCAAAATAATAGATGCACGTGTTTTTTTTATTTTTTTATTTTTAAAATAGTAAGCCAATCAATTTAATTTTTTTTAGTCAAACTTACTAAAAAATATTTTACTAACAACTTTTTTTATATTACTATATATTATTAGTATATAAATACATACAAAAATTGTGGGGTTGAGCGTGGCAGGGTTCAAGACACGGACCTGGCCTGCTAAGCTAACAGGCTAGACGTGGCCTGGGCCGTTTTAAAATTGGGGCATGTTTGATCTGTCCCAAATGTTCCAGGCTGGGCTGGGTCGATCCGGGATCGTCTGTTTTTGCCATCCTTGGTTATGCACGGGACACCAAAGATAAATTAAGTCAGTGAATATTGATCAATTTAAAAATAATATGTAAGAGTAATTTTGTTATTTATTTTTTAACTTTTGTTTTCATCATATATATTATAAAATTTAATTTATATGTATATTTCATTATTTTAAATTTTAAATAAGTGTTATTCTAGAATTTCCAATTCAAGATTATCTAATACTAGTACTAGCATCATTTATTACACGAAAGTTATTGTAAAATTTTATACTTAAATTTTTAAAAAATAAATATAGAAGTTTTTTATTTAAATTTCGAATTCTTATTTTTGGTGTTTCGTAATCCTATATTTGAATTTTAGTGTTTCATAATTCTACTAGTACGATACCCGTGTGCACACAGGAGTTATATATATATAATAAAAATGAGAAAATAAAAGAATTTATATTCTTATTGTAAAATTATAAAAAAATAAATATATAACAAATAGTAAATAACTAACCGAATAATAATTGTATAAAATGATACTTGTTTGACACTCAATTTATCAATAGTAATAACTATTTTATTCATATTTATATGTCTCAATTTCTTGTGCTCTAGAGTAGTCCATATGCATGTGTACTTCAAATCAAGCCTACTAAAGCATTTATAATTGCATAACACTTAGAGTAACTTAATCTTTAAATATATTTAAAAGTTAATAATTTGTGAATTTTTTATCAGTTATTTGCTATTTTATACACGATATATCAAATTAATCATCTTGTATGCTTTTCGATTTGGAATTTATAAGACATAAATAAAATAAATAACTACATTTATATTTATAATAAAAGTAAAATTATCTATTAATAGTAATTAGAAAATAATAAAGATACTTATTAATTAAATAAATTTATCTATAAAGTCATTATATGATATGAGTTACAAAATTTTTAACAATATAAGACATGTATTCGTATAAGTGATAACTGTAATTATAAATATAAATATAATGTTATTTTTTTGTAAATTTATTTACAATTTAAAGCAAAACTTCTCT